ATTCATTCTATATGAGGGCTGAAACTGGAACTTGGAGCTCGGCGAATATTCGTGCGTTTCTTTGACTTCCTGTTTCCTGATTATTGAGGCCGTCTGTAACGTTGACCGAGAACATCGTCAGGTAAACGGATTTGATCAATCACGAATATGACGCTCTTGGCGAAGTGCTCCTCTCACTATCCGTGCAACGATGTCCACGCGATCCGATTGGTCAGTGGGCGGTCTTTTATATCCGCTGAGATCTCATCCTGAAACATAACCTGCTCCGGAGCAGGTTTGGCCTTCTGCTAAGTTACCGGGGCAACGGACCCGGATAAAAAGAGATCCACCACCATTGTACGGAAAACCCAGAAGTTATCCCAGAAGATACTCGCCAAGATCACATGAAGCTTTGTAGTCCAGAGGCCTGTACTACGAAGCTGGATTAACAAATCCAGGATAACTTTGCAACAACTCGCTCAACTTCACCGGATCTCCGCGATCCCGATCAGCTGTACTACGAAGCAGGATATCAACTCGATAACTGAATCCAGTTCAGATCTGTGCGCGCACACGTAAAGGGGGCGGGGTCAGTGCCACCGGACCAATCGCCACAATGGAGAAGGCTGCAGGTCATTTTTCACAGCTGAAGAACAGAGCTTTATTTAAACAGTGAGACAGACACAGCCGCTAAAAGCCGGAGGGACTGCCGGCAAAAAAAATCACCGGTTGTGTAAATGACATTTGTGCGTTCATAAATTTATGGCCCCCTAATATGTTGTCATGCAGCGTGTGTGATCACCTCCATCATTGACCTCATTATTTCAGATACAACAGCAGTGGGGAAAAGAGTACGTGGGAGCAAATAAAAATAAATCTAAAAACATCCTTTAAAGTAGTTTGTAAGTTTATTGGAAGATTTTATTTGTACATATTTCAACGCGTAAACAGTGATTTCCTCACACTGCCTTTTTTTTTCTCCATCATCTGATGGTCACGTCATCTGCAGACACATTTGGGGTTAAGAGGAGTTTTCTAATCTGCTTCAATGAATTCTGAATGATGACTAACAAATTTGAACCTGGAGCTTGGCAAATATCAGTGTATTGCTTAGACTTCATGCTACCTGAATATTGAGGCCGTCCGAGGAAAACCTGTAACGTTCATAGAGAACGTCATCAGGTAAATCAAACGGATTTGATCGATCATGAATATAACGCTCTCGGCGAAGCGCTCCTCTCCCTATCCGTGCAACGATGTCCCCGGGATCCGGCAAAAGTGGGCAAGCCATTTTCCAAGAGATCCGATTGGTCATCGGGCTGTCTTCTATACCTGCTGAGCTCTTATCCTGAAACATAACCTGCTCCGGAGCAGGTTTGGCGTTCCGCGTAAGTTACCGGGGCAACGGACCCGGATAAAAAGAGATCCACCTTCGTAGTACAGAAAACCCAGAAGTTATCCAGAAGTTATCTCGCTAAGACCAAATCCAGCTTCGTAGTACAGGCCTCAGACCTCTGATGTTGTTGTTGTTGTTGTTGTTTTCTCTCGTTATTGTTGTTGTTGTTGTTTTCTCTCGTTGTTGTTGTTGTTGTTTTCTCTCATTGTTGTTGTTGTTGTTGTTGTTGTTGTTGTTGTGTTTTCTCTCGTTATTGTTGTTGTTGTTCATCTGTTGTTTTCTCTCGTTGTTGTTGTTGTTGTTGTTGTTGTTGTTGTTTTTCTCTCTCGTTGTTGTTGTTGTTGTTTTCTCTCGTTGTTGTTGTTGTTGTTGTTGTGTTTTCTCTCGTTGTTGTTGTTGTTGTTGTTTGTTTTCTCTCGTTATTGTTGTTGTTGTTGTTGTTCACCTGTTGTTGTTGTTTTCTCTCGTTATTGTTGTTGTTGTTGTGTTTTCTCTCGTTATTGTTGTTGTTGTTGTTGTTGTTGTTGTGTTTTCTCTCGTTGTTGTTGTTGTTGTTCACCTGTTGTTGTTGTTGTTGTTGTGTTTTCTCTCGTTGTTGTTGTTGTTGTTGTTGTTGTTGTTGTTGTTGTTGTTCACCTGTTGTGTTTTCTCTCGTTGTTGTTGTTGTCGTTGTTGTTGACCTGTTGTTTTCTTTCTCATTGTCGTTCCAGTTCATGTTCCACCTGCGGCGCTCTCCGTTCCTTCAGGTGTTCAACAACAGTCCAGACGAGAGTTCTTATTACAGACACCAGTTTAACAGACAGGACCTGACCCAGGCCCTCATCATGATCCAACCGGTGCTCTACGCCTACTCCTTCAACGGGCCGCCAGAGGTACACACACACACACACACACACACGACACACACACACACACACACACACACACACACACACACACACACACCTGCATATACACACCTGTGTACACACACACTTCTCTATAAGATACTTCCTGCACAGCTGCAAACACATTCATACCTGTTTAACACCTAATGTGTGTGTGTGTGTGTGTGTTTTTATCGTGTGTGTGTGTGTGTGTGTGTGTGTGTGTTTATCATGTGTGTGTGTGTGTGTTTATCATGTGTGTGTGTGTGTGTTTATGTGTGTGTGTGTGTGTGTGTGTGTGTGTGTGTGTGTGTTTATCATATGTGTGTGTGTGTGTTTATCATGTGTGTGTGTGTGTGTGTGTGTGTGTTTCAGCCCGTCCTGTTGGACAGCAGCAGTATCCTCCCCGACAGAATCCTGCTGATGGACACTTTCTTCCAGATCCTCATCTACCATGGAGAGGTGACTACACACACACACACACACACACACACACACACACACACACACACACACACACACAGACCTCTCATCACGGGTCACTCTGACCCCGCTCGCTGCCTGTCAGGTTCACTGTGTGGGTGAAGTAACCCCTGGTTTGTGTCTGTCAGACCGTGGCTCAGTGGAGGAAGGCGGGTTATCAGGAGATGCCCGAGTACGAGAACTTCAAACACCTCCTCCAGGCTCCCGTAGACGACGCCCAGGAGCTGCTGCACACTCGCTTCCCCATGCCCCGATACATCGACACGGAGCACGGAGGCAGCCAGGTGGGGGCGCCAACACACACACACACACACACAGACACGTATATATACCTGCACTGAGTCAGTGATGATGATGATGATGATGGTGTCCTGGTCCTCAGGCCCGGTTCCTGCTCTCCAAAGTGAACCCCTCTCAGACTCATAACAACATGTACGCCTGGGGTCAGGTGAGTGTCTGACGTTGACCTTTGACCTTTAGTCTCTCTGCGTGGATCCGCTCTGATGTTTGTTTCCTCTTTCAGGAGTCTGGCGCCCCCATCCTGACCGATGACGTCAGCCTGCAGGTCTTCATGGACCACCTGAAGAAACTGGCCGTCTCCAGCGCCGCCTGACCGCACCTCCTGTCTCCTCGCCCTGTCTCCTCGCCTGTCTCCTCACCTGTCTCCTCGCCCGTCATTTTTTCTTCTTTTAGTTTTTTTTCTATTCGCTGCCTGAGCTCCAAAAACAACCAACTGAACAACAAGCCTGCACAGTCTGTCTGTCACCGCCGCCTGCCCACGCCGCCTGCCCACGCCCCAGCAGCCAATCAGCTGCAGGCTCAGAGCGATGATGACCAATAGAGACGAAAGTTTATCAGCTGAACTCTGACTGTCTCTGGAGGTCTGAAGGTCTGCAGCCTGTAAAGGGTTAAAATAAAACATCAGCTGATTGACGAACATCAGAGTCCGGACACTCCACGCCGCCGCCGCCGCCGCCGCTGTGACCCGCTCAGAGAAGATCCATCAAACAGAACATTTCTGCTGCTTCTTCTTTCAGGTCAAATCGACGTGTTAAAGTTTTAGTTTTTATTGAACCTTCTTCTTCTTCTTCTTCTTCTTCTTCTTCTTCTTCTTCTTCTTCTTCTTCTTCTTCTTCTTCTTCTTCCGCTCGACCACAGGAACGTTTCTCAGCTCTTCACTTTCTTCTCATTTCAGTGTCTTAATAAAATTCTGTTCAAGTTCTGAGAGGAACCAAAACCTGCAAACAAACTGACAGAGTCCTAAACCAGTCATCATCATTATTATTATTATTATTATTAATATTATTATTATTATTATTATTATAATTATTATTAATAATAATATTATTATTATTATTATTATTATTATTATTAATATTCATCTGAACTCAGATCTGGTTTTTAATGTCAAATCTGTGAGTCTGATGAAACTTTGACCTTCTTCCTGTTTCCTGTTTGTCTGAAAAGCTGCAGGCAGAAAAAAACAAAGAAGAAGAAGAAAGTCTGGATCATTTCAAAGACCTCCTCAGAGTCCGGGTTCGAGTGTTCGCTCCTTCTTTGCTGTTTTCTGTCTGCAGCCGTGTTTGTGCATGCTCATGATGGAGGTCGGTCCGTCTGCAGGGTCTCTGATCTAAAACCATCAAACACTAAAATCTGCAGAGAGAAACGTTTTCATCTGTCTTTATTCTCATGTTTCTAATAAAACTGCTGTGGAGAAAAAAAACAAACGAACGAGGATTTTTTTATTAGCGACTCCGGACCCTGTCCTCGGTCTGGACCCTGTCCTCGGTCTGGACCCTGTCCTCAGTCTGGACTCTGTCCTCAGTCTGGACCCTGTCCTCGGTCTGGACCCTGTCCTCGGTCTGTTCGGATCACATCAGTCAGAGTCAACACATGATTAATACAGGAGGTAATACCGCCTTTGTCCAGCGGGTGGCAGTATTACTATGAGGAAAGTGTAGAAGAGTTCAGACCGGACCGTCAGTAAACCTGTGAAGTAGATCAAATATTATACATGAATGTCAGTACCGTGTGTTTCCAGAGGGTGGCGCTGTGACTGGGTACATAAATGTGTTCAGATGGATTCAACTCTGGATGAAGGAGTTACTCTCACTTCCTGTTTCATGACCACAGACACAAAAACCCTGCGACCTGATTGGCTCGCTGACGCTGTCCGCTCTCTTACGTTCAGACGGCAGGTCAGTTCTGATTGGTTCTGATCCGACCCTCTTCTGTATGTGGATATAAATCAGATATGTATCTGATGTGACGCTCAGGTCGCGTTCATCCGAACCTTCAGGGTGAACGTCGACATTGTTCACCTGTAGATCAGCTGATTCTTCATTCAGATCAAAATGGCCGCCTTCCTGTGAGAGCAGGTCTTTTTGTTCGCCTGTAAAAACTGGCGTTTGTCAGGTGAACGGCGTGGAGGTGAATGTCTGGGATCTCGCCCGGATGAAGCTGAGGTCTCCTGCTCTGGTTCTGGTTCTGGTTTGATCAGAGTCTCTCTTACCTCCTCCTCCATCTCTGACCCGTTTCTTCTTCATGGTTTCGGGTCTGTGGTCCGTCAGTGCGTGTCTGTGGACGAGTCGTCTTCTCTCTCACCTTTTTGAAAACAGAACGGCTCGTTTGTTTTGACTCCGCCTGTTTTTAGGAACCGTCTCGGTGAAGTTTGGGGCAGAAGGACCATGAAGACGAACGTGGGTCGGGGTTCGAGTCCTGATAACAGAGGTGACCTGACCTGGACCTGTTCTCCATGTTGTAGGTGTGATCGTCCAGCAGGGGGCAGCACACCTCTGTCCGGGTTCCTCCTCCTCTGTTGTCTCCCTCTCTGTAAACATGCTGACAAACCTCCTCCTTGACTCAGTTGCCGTGACGATAAGCCTCCTCCTTGACTCTGTTGCCAAGGTAACGACCCTCCTCTCCCACTCTGCATCTGTGGCATTGACCCCGCTATTGTTTCGTCTGACTCTGTTGCCGTGGTGACACCCCTCCATCGGCTGAAACAAACACGGCTTCAGAAAACAGAAACCTGCCTTCAGGATTCAGCGGCGTTACCATGGAGACAGTCGCACAGGTGATGCTCCTGTGAACAAAAGACAGTCTGTGTGATGATTTTCAAACCTCTGAGGACCCCGACAGAGCTCCAGGTGACCTCCTGAGGGGGCGGGACCACAGTTTGGACAACACTACAGTACAGAGAAATTCACAGGCTTTTATTTTCCTAATGAGTCAGACCCTCCACAGGAAGTCCTTCTGTCCTCATTAAAGCTCCGCCCCTCACTGAGAGCAGCGGGTCACCTGATCAATAATCAGTCAGCAGGTGTGTGACCTCACCTGTCCTCTGGGCAACGACGTCAACCTGGAAAAGAGGTCAACCAATCAGAGGACCTGCAGTGTCTTCAATGACCAGCAGGGAACCAGGAGGTCGAGCTCCGCCCTCTGCTGTTGTTGTTATGGATGATGATGATGGTGATGTTGATGATGGTGATGATGTTGTTTGTTGTTTGTTGTTGTTGACACTACAGTTATAAGCAAAGATTGATCAATTATTGATTACAAGACTGAACCTCCATTTGACCTGTGTGTGTTTGTGTGTGTGTGTGTGTGTGTGTGTGTGTTTGTTTTTGTGTGTGTTTTTGTGTGTGTGTGTGTTTGTTTGTGTATATGTGTGTGTGTGTGTGTGTGTGTTTGTTTGTGTGTGTGTGTGTGTGTTTGTTTGTTTGTTTGTGTGTGTGTATGTGTGTGTGTTTGTTTGTTTTTGTGTGTGTGTGTTTGTTTGTTTGTTTGTGTGTGTTTGTGTGTGTGTGTGTTTGTTTGTGTGTTTTCATGTTTGTTTCTGTTGTGTTTAAAGTTACAGACAGTCTGGCAGATACTGTGTGTCTGCAGGTTCTGGTTTTACTGGTTTTACTGGTTTTACTGGTGTAACTGGTCTCATTGATGACTTCCTGTCTCTCTCACTGTTCATTTCTGCAGGACAGTGATGTCATAGCGGCTTTTTATCCAACCAATAAGGAGCAGGAGATACAATCAACCTCTGAGATTTAATCTGATTCAATCTCTCACACACACACACACACACACGGTCTGACTGCCAGTGCTGCGTCACCATGACAACAGAGGTTAGTTCATGACCTTCCACTTCCTACCATTCTTCACTCACTTCCTCCAGGAAGCAGGAAGCATCTGGGTCGCCGTGACAACAATCATCATCCAGCGTGTGTGTTTCCATCGTTTGTTTAAATACAATACTGCAGTGTGTGTGTGTGTGTGTGTGTGTGTGTGTGTGTGTGTGTTCAGTAGCAGCCCATAAAACTCACTTCCTGTCACATCAAAGACTTTCACAACAAATTAAAATCCTGAAATTATTCTGATGGCATTAAAAGGTGAAACTTTATTTTGAAAGTCAAAAGAAGTAAACAACATCCTGTTGACTCCTGGGCAATTTTCAAGCACCATCTGTGATTTCAAGGACCATCCAGAAACTGTCAAAACCTTCCCAAACCACCTGTTACAACCATCCTTGAAGCTTCAATGACCCTGGAACATCCTCAAGGACCAGTGGAATCTTTTCAATGACCCTGGAACATCCTCAAGGACCTGTGGAATCTTTTCAATGATCCTGGAACATCCTCAAGGACCTATGGAATCTTTTCAATGATCCCTGGAACATCCTCAAGGACCAGTGGAATCTTTTCAATGACTCCTAGAACATCCTCAAGGACCTGTGGAATCTTTTTGACTCCTGGAACATCCTCAAGGACCAGAGCATTTTTCAATGACTCCTGGAACTCTCTCAAGGACCTGTGTTAGAATGAACTGCAGGAATAGGAATGAACCTTTTCACCTGGAATGTAGAGCTGTGGTCTCTGTGAACGCGTCTGAACCAAACCTCATTTAAAAATTCATCATTTCTGACTCAGCCGGTGTAAACAGGATTGTACAGAAGTGGACAGAGTTCCTGGGGATCCGCCTCAGTCATCCTTTATATCTTGAACACACCTGTTCAGGTGAAACCTCACTGAAACCTCATAATACCTGTATCTTGCGTTCAAACAGGATCCATCCAGTTTCATCTGACAGAGAAAAATCATGTAAATTCTGGCTGAGGTTTGGTGCCAACATGAAAGCGGTTTTACAATCTGGACTCCAGTTTTCGTTCCTCTCTAAGTGAGTGACCGAGTTTCTCTGGAGGAAACGAGCTCGCCATATCAAGACACAACACACTTCCTGTCCTGGAGGAGAGGAGGGCTGGGGAGGTCCGGGGGGAGGAGGGGAGGAAAAGGAGGAGGAGGGGTGAGGCCGGTGTTCAGTCTGTTGGTGGAGCTACTGTGGAGGAAAGGAGACAAGAGAAGAGGAGAGGAAAGAACTGAGTGAGGAGAAGAAGAAGGTGAGGAGGAGGAGGAGGAACACAGAGGAGACTCAGAGGAGCTGGACGAGGAGAAGACGAGGAGCAGCGTTTTAGAGACGGTAAGAAAACCTGTAAAAGTTCTGATGAGTGTGACGGTGGACGTAAACAGAGAATTAAAGAGATAAAGATCCATCAGACATCCTGACAGGAACTCAAAGATCCTCGTTTCCTCGGACTCAGAGTCCCAGAGCCTTTTCTTTTCTGCAGGTCCAGACTCTCCTGGACTCTTCTGGACTCTTCTGGACTCTTCTGGACTGGTTTGTGTGGATCTTGTCTTCTTCTGTTCTTCACTGGGATGCTCTTATTCTCTGTCTACTTCATCAGCGTGAACGTTTCCTCTTTTTTAATGTTACAGTTGTATATTAGGGGAGACTGGGGACGGCTGCAGCGACTCTTCTCTCTCTCATCATCATTAGACCGAGATCACACTGAGTTCTTTTAAAGTCAGTGTTCAGGTCTGTCCTTCGTTTAAGGTGAATTCAGACCGTTTTCTCCTGAGTGTGTGAGGCCGCCACACAGTGTTCTGATTGGTTGATCGGACGGGAACAGGTCCAATGAACTGCTCAACAGTTTCAGAATCATCAGAATAAGAAGACTTTATTTTGATGATTTGATGATTTCTTCAGTTTTTCTCGTTCTCAGTTCCTCGTTCTCGGGGCGTTTCTCCCGTGTCTTCTTTTACGTCCTCTTCCAAACTTTGACCAGACTCAGCGCCTCACCCAGCCGCCATGTTTCATCAGAACTCATTTTAATAAACTCGGGGTAACTCAGGCCCGAACTACACGAAGGCGGATATTTATTTATCTGGATATTTTTGTACTCCCGTCTAAATAAATGTACCTGTCCACACGTGTTAGTTCAAAAAAATATCTGCGTCCACACCCTTCAATGTGAGAGCGTAGGAGCTCGGCCAAGGAAACCACCGATGGCTTTGACATACGAAAGTTTAGCTTCCATTCATCTGCAGGCACAGCCCCTCTAATGAAGTTGTCCCACCACTTGACCCAAAACTTACGCTTCTGGCGAACTTTAAAACGCCTAACGTTAACGTTACGATTGCTCTCCAATAAAAGTATTGGCCGCAGCAGACGCGTCTGTGAGCTGCTGACTGGTGGATGTAATTGTATAAAATAAGGTTCACTGTCAAGACTGAAATTAGCCCCAAAAGGGCAAAACAAACGTAAAGAATACCCTGTCTGTCCGCCATCGTTGTTGTTGTTTTCGTTTTTAATGCGCATGCGCGAGCTGCGGTTTGACGTCATCCATCCGTAAAAGTCCGACCACACGAATCCACTGCGGATACGGGATACGGATATTTTTTTATTTCTCCGCTTGTTTTTCCGGATTCAGATTTATCCGGTTTGAGTGCTCCAAACTCCCGTTTTGGTGTGGTAGGGAGGCCTAATCGAACATAAATATGTGCGGTTTGAAATATATCCGCCTTCGTGTAGTTCGGGCCTCAATGAGGGTCCAGAAAGCTGGGCTCTTCAATGCTGAGTCTTTGAATGCTGGGTTCTTGGGTTCTGGAGCACTAGGGTTTGGATTAGGGTTCTAGACTGCTTGGCTGTGAGCTACCAAAAACCTCTCCACATGAGCGAGACTCTCAGCAGAGAAGAAGACAGAGAGGTGGACATCATCGGCATAAGAAGACATCAACGTCTCACACATCGGGCGTTTCTTAACGTCCAAAACTGATCAGAGGACTAAAATAATCTGAAACTGAGGTTTTAATCTCCCATCTCTTTTGTTTTGACAGACTGACATCTTCATCATCATCATCATCAGAGGGGGCGGAGTCAAAGAAAATGGCGTCTACGTTGTGCTGTGGCTTGATTCACCTTTGGATTGTCATCGTGGTGTTCAGAA